CCCTAAAGTTGGCAGCATCCAGAATTTCATGACAGACATTTAAGATTCTTGTCTGAAGCTTCAGTAAGTGTCACGGTTTCCTTCAGCAAGTGTCAAATATATATCTGCAGCTTAGCAACTCATATCTATGGCAAAACACGGAAGATTCCTTTCAAAGAGACTTAATATATGTAGCCCTCCTGTTTGCAAATCTGACTGATACTCCATGGACCCAGAAGGTCACGTCTAGCAGTATTTCAAAGGGAAAGGAAGAGAAACTCAGCAAACACAGCACAAAACCCAAAACAAGGTGAAAATAGGTTTTCAAAATAGGCATGCATTGTCCAAATGGCCCAGCAATGACATTCTGATACTAGACCAAGTTTGGAAGGTCAGAGAACAGAAATAAAAACACAGTGGAAAACAAGATGGGCATTGTTTGGCAAACGGTTGGGGAAGCCAATGAAACACGGAGACGGCCTATGATGTGAGTCTCATCTTGACATTCATGCAGGTGTCCTCAGCTCAGTGGACACTGAGGGCCTGGGACACGTGCGCCCAAAATAAGGGTCAAGAATTGGACTTAAGCAATGGGAGGTGGGCTTCTGACTGTCAGAGGGGAAAGGGGGCTGCTACTTTCAGCGCCACATTCCTGAGATGGATATCCTTGGATCCTGGGGTCCTCAAGCTCCTTGGCTTCCACATATTTTAAATTTTTTTAATTAAAAAAATTTTTCCTTTCCATAAATAGATTTTTTCCCCTTAAAAAAATTGAGATACAGTTTATTTACAGTGTTGTATTAGTTTCTGGTGTACAGCATAGTGATTCAGATATAGATATACATACATACACACATATTCCTTTTCATTACAGGTTCCTCCACTGGTTTTGTTTGTTTGTTTTGTTTTGGGGGAGGTGATTAGGTTTATTTATTCATTATTTTTCTATTTAAGTGGAGGTACTGGGGATCTAACCCATGACCTCCCACATGCTAAGCATGCACTCTACCACTGAGCTATACCCTCCCCCAAT